CCACTTGATGAGCTGCTTATAAGTTTATACATCGAAACAAATATGCATCTTTGTAGTCATTATTTGTATGCAACAACTATTGCTCTACTTTTGGTATTGAGCACTCTTTTAAAGTAATGTTATGAACGTTTGAATTTATATTCTTTTCGTTCTCATTACATTTGAATATATACATATATGTGTGTGCGTGTATATATATATACACAGGAATCGCAATTCAAACACGTTTACCCACTAAAAGTAACATTTTATTAATAACAAATAATGTCAGATTAGAAAATTCATCTAAAATACACACACACACACACCCACACCCACGCATACACAACTGTTCAGAAGTTTGATTTGTTTGGTTGGTTGGTTTTACGGTATATCAACCTCAATGGATTATTTAATGCTGACAAGATTACTACTGCTAGTAATATTTTTTTCAAAAATCTATTGTTGGTAATAATTTTTTCTTTCAATTCATTGCTGTAATAAGCTTTTACAAAAATATATATTGCTCGTATTAAAAACTATTTTTATACCTATTTTTAAACTTTCATAGTGTTTTGACCCCATTTTGAGGGTCAACTATTTGCCCATTGCGGGGACCCTAATAAGTGATACCACCCTGAGTCAGGGTGAACCTGGGAAACATCACCGTGGTTCCATGTTCCTCAAAACCTCCTGAGCAGAGGCATTGCTGTTGTATGTAGTTTATCGTCATACCCAGGACGCGTATGTAGTTTATCATCATACACAGGAAGGTCAAAATTTTGAAGCCACCCCTCGGAATTAGGATGGGGTGAACTTGACAGAAGAAAAAGAATTCTTAGAGTCATTGAAAAAAGAATGGAATCAATTATTAAACTTAAACTTTTGCGACGAATGCCGATGATTTGTGCTGCGTTAAGGTAAAGGAGGATATTTTGACGGGAGCAAAAATAATCATAATCTTTTTTTTTTCCTTTTTGACATAATAAAATTTCTAATAAAAATCATCTCACGTTCTTTTAATCATGTATACTAATTTGCAAAATTACGTTTTGGACCAATTTAAAATATTACCAGGAGTGGCTTCAAACTTTTGAACAGTAGTGTACCGACACACGCAGGGTACCTCGATGTGGTGTAATCGTTAGCATACTGGTCTTGTAAATACTAATTATAACCGAATAGTGAGTTCGAATCTCACTGTGTGTTCCATACTTTCGGCTCTTTGACACTTAGAAAATCATTTTTTTATTAATCATTTCACTCCCAGTAAGACCACAGAGACACAAACACGCAGGTATTACTGAGTCTAAAAGAATATATTAATAATTTATATAATTGATAGCCATAGTATACAAATAAGAGTCTATGCATAATATATAGGTCCCTTAAACTCGAAATATGTTATAGCGGTCTTGGTTAAATAGATTTTTTAATCAGTCAAGCAAGGCAATACAGCCACTAAGACGCGGGGGGGGGGGTACTGAGTGTGATAGAATATAAGAAAAACACTATTAAGAAGAGTGAGAAATTAAAGATCAGTAATTAAGAAAACAAAAGATAATGATTGAGGATGCATTTAAATTTTTGAAGATCAATGTTTCTCGATTGGTTTTAAATCAGGAGAGTTTCCGGGGCATCCTATAGTACTTTGATTTGCTCACTGGTAAAGCTTCCAGTGTGTTCATACCACGTTACAATTTTCGTACGCTTCCCGGAAAATGGCCGTAGGACAACTAATCCACAGCCGAGACAGTAGTATCTGTGCGTGATAAAAATCTGAAAAGCAAGAAGCCGGAAGAAAGTTTCATAAGCGAAAAGTGCCCTAGAAGAAACTGTTAGCATAGAACTTACAGTTACATCCAACAATTTCAACTGTAAAATTATGAGTCCTAACCGCCAGTCTAGTACTACACGTAAAAATACCGTTTTTGTTTTATTTACGCATTAACGGCACTGTTTCACGCCCACTTAGATATTTTTTTAAAAAATCGGTGGCTGTTAGTTATTCACTCACCTGACATCTTTTCACGTTTTCAAAATGGAATGCGTCAGTGGGCTGACAATTCGAAATAATGGCATTTCTTCTGTTCATTAAATTTTGTACGTTTTTCAATGCTATAATGTCTACTTTCCTCCTCTTTGCATAGATTGCAACGTATATCTCTGTTTCTCTCTCTGTATTATTGTATGCCATTCGACGAACGGTGTTGTTTTTGCTTCACATTTAGTTCATCTATATCAAAATCAACACAATTTATTACGAATATAGCAACAACATATTCAAATGGATACAACATTTAACGCCATTATACATTTATACCATCTTCCGGTCAGCTCACATTAAATATTGAAACGCTTTCTTTTAAAAAATTTACGATACCTACAACGGCTAAATTTAAAATTGAAAAATAATCACAGAGCGCATTCGCGCGTGTTTTTAAAAATAACCATCACAACTGAATACAGATTTTATCGCAGTTACAATAAGTTTATCCCTGACGATGATCTTGGTTAACAA